TGAAAAAGAGCGCATCGTAAACTGTATAATGGAGGCACAGTTTTGCAAAACTCTGAACAATGCAAAAGATCCCTTTTGAGCAGAAGTTTTTTTTTAAAAAAAGGAAAAAACAGCGAACGGTCAATCATAAAGCTGAAATATGATTTTTTTAAACCTCCGCTTGTCCCTGAAATGGGCGTCACTGAGCAGGATTTTTTAAAAACAACGTAAAGTCAGTGGCAAAGCTGGAGCAGATGCACATTTTTTCAAAATCTCTTTTGTAGATAGACTGCTTTGAAGCAGTAGTTATTAAAATAAAAAAAAGTACAGTCGACCGTAAGCTTGTGATAGATACGGGATTTTTCAAAACTCTCTCTGTAGATACATCCTTTTTGAGTCAAATTTTGAAAAAGAGCGCATCGTAAACTGTATAATGGAGGCACAATTTTGCAAAACTCTGAACAATGCAAAAGATCCCTTTTGAGCAGAAGTTTTTTTTTTAAAAAAAAGAAAAAAAACAGCGAACGGTCAATCATAAAGCTGAAATATGATTTTTTTAAAACTTCCTTCAAAGTTAAATATTTTCTGAGTGGAAGATTAAAAAACATCACGTATGGTCAAACATTAAACTATTGTGGATGCCTGCCTACGCATTTTTAAAGATCTTCTTTGTGGATAGATCCATTTTGTTCAGAAGTTATCATAACAACGTATGATTGATCTGACAGCTATAGTGGATGTGCATTTTTGCGAAACTTCCTCTTGTAGGTACGAATAGATCCCTTCTAAGAAATATTTTTTTAAAAAAACCTAATTAAGTACAGTGTTTGACAACTTTCCATGAAAACCCCGCGGAATTAAAGAAAAAAATTCATCACGAATCACACCGACAAAGCTTCTCCGTACTCAGACTGAGTAACTATACTTACATAGGTAAAGAAAATTTACCTTTCAATTCGAGCATTAAATTTGGAAATTGTAAGGCGTGCTAGGTGTTTTCCATCAAATTTTGAAGAAGAATCATCCGTTGTGTATGTGCAAGGATACATCAACAGACCAATGACAATAAGGAGTGAAAAACTGTAAGACTGTGTTGTTATATAGATCCTCGTTGGGGAGTTTTTCAAAAATATTCCATTGAGTCACGAATTGTTTTATTTTCACAATTTTCTTTTTCCCTAACGATGCGGAGCTGATCTGTGGGAAGAGGAAGAGATTGGGTGCTGGACGGAGAGTTGTTGATACTATTTTTCAGTGTAGTAAGCTGTAGTATAATACTACTATAACTTGCTATAAATACTATACTACAGCTTACTACCCTGAAACTTGTTTAGATCAAATGAAACTTACGATGAAAATTTTCCGGAGAGGCTTTGTTCTTTTGAATCACCCGGAATTTTCCTTAAAATGACTGGTACCTTCGTCGTTTTTTTAAAAAAAACTGGAATATTTTGCAGGGAATGGAAGGTCGATGAAAGTTCCTTTTGATTCGAATGAAAATTTTTCTCAGTATGCCATGTGTTTACCTACTATTTAGATTTATGTCATTGGACCATGCTTACACAGAACGTGTATGTAAATTACTTATAAAGTCGGAGATGAGACGAGTTTCAGTTTGTAGTTGGGAAATCTTACTTTTGAGAGGATGCTGTTTCAAGTTCTAGATGATGTGTTGGGCTCAGAACTTGAATTGACAGAATTACTGAACTTCCAAACGGTTTTTATGGCCATTTTTTAGGCACGTGCAACACTTCTGTGTTGCACTTCACTAACATTTTTTTTTCTTTTTTTTCTGTTGGCTTTAAAGGGCACACTTCTCGTGAAAAAATCTACTTCAAGGAAAAATGCAGCCCTAAAATCCTCTGCCTTTTTTTAAACTCCTGCTCATTACTGGTGAAATGTCGCGGCGAAACTACGGTAGTCAGTTTGATGCCACAATTTTTTCCGGCATGACGTCAAAACTGAGGAAATATTGAAAACCAATTATTTCAGAAAGCACGCTGCACGAATCTGTAAGTATGTTAAGCTCTTGCGGGAACACATTAATTGGACGTATTTAAGCCAAAAGGAACTATGTTCATAGGGTTTACGTGAGACATAATTTCTTTTAGCATAAATATGTCCAATTTGAGTCCATTAGCCTTGGAAGGGGGAGAAATAGGGCTCTGGAAAACTACCAATGACGTATAAGTTTTTGCGGAAGCCCCTTTGCCCTGCCTCATTTTATTTCATTAAAAATCAAGTATCCAGAAGTCATGTGCAGGGTAGCATTTGTGGGGGTAAATGCTCCCCAAATCACCCCCAGTATTAGGTAATTGGCGAGTGAACCGACACGTCAAACTTTAAAGCTACTATTCCCAGTTTTTTTTTTTTGGAATACGGAGGCACCGTGCAAAAATAAGAAAGGAACGAATGATTTTTTTTTAGATTGAGTAAGTGAAAGGTGATAATGTCCTGGTAGTTAGATAAAAGCTTGTTAATAAAGGCGAAGTAATTTTCTGGTAATAAAATAAAGATAAGATATTACACAATAAGATGAATATTCACTTGAAAAGAACAAATTGAATAAAGATTTTCATAACTGAGAAATTTTAAATTGACTAGATTAGAAGGACGATTTTCTTCGCACTCTATACTCATAACTTTTATTTTATCCTTAAAACGATAAAAGGAGACCATGCTATCAATTTGGTACCTATTCTTGGTGGCTTCGTTGTGACGCGTCTCGGTAACAATTTTTGTCGAGAACGCTCACGTCCTTAGGCCAAAACAACATCATGTCGGTATCAAAAAAAAAAAAATAAATAAATAAATAAATAAATGAAAAGGGACAAAAATCACATTCTGTTGCAGCAATTCTTAAAGATTCAAAAATACCGCGAATAAAATTATACATTCCACACTCCAAAAAATGTATTCTGCAGAAAGGCAGAATTGCTAGAGCGTAGCTCATTTAATTCCAGAATAACGTCAGATTTTTAAAGTTAGAAGAAGCAACGTTTCTCCTCAAGACCCACCCGTTTGCACAATTAATTTCATGACATATTTCGTAGCCATTGCAAAGTACAAAAAACGGGAATGACCGTATATAGTTAGATGGGAACGAAATGAGAGGAGTTCGGGACGTTCCGTGACAAAAAAACCTCATTGCGTTGCTCTACAAAACTTGTAAAATGAGAAAAAAGTCAGAAATTTGACTCTAATGCGTTACTTCGAGTTCTTCCAAAGGTATCAGTCATTATTAATTTTTAACGCCAAGCGGCATGGTCTATTTTAAAAGGGGTGCCTCTTGATATAGCTCTCAAGAAAGAGAATTGTTATAGGTAGCAGTATCATCATTAAAACTGAAGTTTCTTCCCTTTGAAAATGTAAACTCTCAATTTAACAACGTAACAATTGTGATCAATCAAAAAGAGGATCGTTCTAGCCCTCCACAACACTTAAATGCATTAATATTCAGCGAATTGGACGTATTTCTACCAAACGGAACTAAGTGCATCATGACGTGAGCCCTGTTGTGCATATATTCTTATGGGTCTCAGGGCTTATGTCTTAAAGCACATAGTTCCGTTTGGCAGAAATACGTCCTATTAGGACAAAAATTCACGCTCAGGTGTAAGACTACGATTTAGCTCTCCTCTTCCCCTATTCAAGCGACGCACAGTAGAACGAGCTTAAAGAAGAGGTCGGACATGGAATCATTGTTTGATACTTCAAATTTTGATGTTCATATTGTCACAAATTTAATTCCGATGGGTGTTTTCGAGAGACAATTTCACGAAAAAACCCATCATGGAACAACTTTTAATGATTTTTGTTTCGCATTTTCAAAAACTCGAGCTTTCATATTTTCCAGATTTTGTCCGACTCTTTCTACTGACTTGGTCGAATGTGCGACGAGTCACTTTAAAATTCAGCAAACGACTTCAGAAGTCAACATTAACCCGAATGCAATATCGCGCGAGATTTATCACGCCTGCTTTTTTACGTAGCTACTCCAGAGATAGCTAATAAGGAGCGCAGTTATTACCTCGTGGCTAATGGTTAATAACTGATGAGAACGAACCATACAATATGCACGTAAACGACCTTCCTAATTTTTAGCCAATAACACTTTCCAACACGCCCGCTCTTATCAAAAATTTGAAGTGGTAGGTTTAAATGGTTGTAATAGAGTAGGTACCCATTTAGCTACGTATACATAGTTACATTTGATGAACCTCTTCAACGAATTTGCATTGAGGTGATGATCTTTAAATGTTTCAGTAGACGCGATTAACCGTTGGAAAATGGCGTAACTTACTTAGTGAGGGGACATTAAGGAAAATAGTATTCATAATTCTAGATGAGTCTAAAAATAAGAACGTGCCTACTTGAGTTTAGTCTAGCTTTGTGTTTGGCGATGCTCAAATGATCAGGGAAGAGATTTCTCTTTTTCAAAGAGACTTTACTGAGCCTTCCTTAACAGTCAACTTTCAGAAATCAATTCGTGAATGTCCGTAGGTAGTTATTTTACTCAAAATTATATTCTTTGATCAGTGATTTGGTAATAACGGCGAACATAAACGGGCATCGCTCAATAAAAGGGAATCTAGGTAGTGGCATTAAAAGAAAAAAAAAATTGAGTTAAGAACAATTTTGAGCTTCTCTAGAAGCATATTTTAACCTATCAAAAATTTAAAGTCTGTAGAGAATAATGAATTTGCAAAATTATCTTTAAATAGTTCTCTACTTGCAGACTTGTGAAAGAATGAAGTTTTGTGCATATTTTTCTACGCTTTGAGTCATTGTCACTTGGGACCATGTTCATAGTTCCTCCTTCAGCAGATCTTTTCCTCGTGAAACCCCCATACGGTTTTCGTTGTGATTATAGGGGGTTCAAGAGACGTTCACCGTATCCTTTTTTTGACAGCTTTTACGAGCTTCCCGTAAAATTCAACACTTCAGCTTCGAAAAATGATGTTTGGTTTCATTTCTAGATATAATGGGGAGTTTCGGACGAGAAAATGAGAACAAAAAAATTCAATGTTTAAACACGTATCACAGTTGTCAAGAATGTTGACGGATACTCATTTAATGAAAAATTAAAAAAGTACAGAAACAGAAAGAGAAAGAGGAAAAGGAACAGAAGAAAAGTACAAGAAAGGAGAAAATATTATTGCTGCGTGAAAAACAACAAGAGTGTAAAAACTGAAAGAGTACGTGACAGAGTGTAAAGATCATTATTAAAGTAACAACCACGAGAAAAACTAGAATTTTTGGACTATTCAGTGTTTACAATTAATAGAATTCAGTTACAAAAGTCGTACAAAGATTATTAAAATGAGAGAAAACTGAATGAATATAAAAAAGCAGAACAAAATAAATATCTTAAAAATGGAACAAAATAAACGTAAAAAATATAAATCTAACCATATCACAACAAGATATTGCAAGGGTAACAAACCGATTGATACTTGACACCCGACTCAAATCACGGACTGGAGTCATTTCGTTCAGAGAGAGAACTAACAAAACTCTTCATGCAAAAACAATTATTGCATCTCTTTACCGCAAAGGAACTTCACGGGGCCATTCACTACTTCAAATTGTCAGCGGCATTACACTCATTGTCAGTTAAAAGGACTATATTTTTCAAAGAGGAATCACTATGATGGCTCACTTAAGGAACAACGTAATTAAGTCGATTAATTTTCCTATGCGGATAGACTTTTAAGGATTTTAGGGTGATCCAGAAACAGCGATTCTTGATTTCAAAAAGTCATCCATTGGACGGATTTTACCAGAATAAGCTGAACTGTATTTTTTGTTGCCTAATTTTTTGTAACCGCAAACGGAGCAGGACACCCACTCCTCTGGTGGCACTTATCATATTATGGTAAGTATCACCAGAGTTCTGGTGAATACTGCTATAATTCTGATTATTTTCACTAGATAGTATCACTGTATAAAAAAGCAAGGAGACTTATAGTAGATTTTACCATACTTTTTTTTTCAATGTACGGGTAATCCACAATAGATATTCTTTTTGTGCGAAACGCAGTCCAAATATTCGAATTGAATATGAGCTTTGGACTGGATCTCGATGTGAAGAATATGTCTCATGCGAACTTAATGTTTTCTTAAAGCTTTTCCAAAATTTTTCGCCTCCTTGATTTTCCTTCTCAAAATAAGTACAACAAAAACAAGCGAAACTGATTTCATTGAGCTAAATAAATTACACGATGGGTGCAAAATTAATCGACTTCGAGTAAGATTGATATGAGAGAGACAAAAATGCTGGGCGGCTGAATGATAATAAAAACATACATCAAAAAGTCGAAAAATAATACGGCCACATACTTTGAGACTGATAGCGACTATTTTTCTGTGTGATAAAGGAGGTTTCTCAAGCTTTCACTTATCGAGAGTGAAATAAAATGTTAAACTGGAATGGAAAAAAAGAAGAGAAAAAAAAGGATCTTCTGGCAGCAAGTCTTAAGAGACACTCAAAGTGCATCAAAATGCATTGAAACAGTTTTCCTCAGGGGACTTAAGCGACTTGAACTCATAAGCTGTTAAAGTCGTCAAGTATCGAGAGAATCAAGGTTTAGGAGTTCTTGGTATTAAAGTTAAAAGACGGTTGGTTCGATTATGTCTGTAGATAATAGTACATACTTCTAACTCGAATGGGCCGAGGTGAGATGTTACGAGACAAGAGCGTCACCACGCGAAAATGCTCCGGTAGCTAGCCCACTATACAAAGAGCTCACAAAAATAGAAAAATGCTAAGATTAGGCACGAAATTAAGAACTTAGGATTAGGTTAATACTTAATAATCACACAATTTAATATAAGAGTTAAGTCGCAGAAGGAAAGTAACTTATTATGTAAGAGGAGGGAAACTTTAGAATGCGTCACGAGTTAGAAAAATGCGAGTCTGGTGTCTATTTAACTTTCTCCAATATTTGGATCAAAGGCAAAGACTTAGCTTCCTCGGACTTCTGGAATTCTTCCAACAGCTGAAAAAATAAGAAAAATATTGATATGAAAATTTAAATTAAGTTATTTTTTAAAATCAAATCAAAAGAATGACTGATGAACTTTATATCAGAATTTAATGACTCGGAATTTTTATCAAGGTTCTTGTGCGAATAATTTCCTGGAAATCCCATGAATTGACAGGAATTTCGAGCAAATGAATTAGTTTCATAAGCCGATACAAGTGAAAAATTCAAGACGTGCCGATTGAGAACATAACCGTGATAGAAGCGAAACAAAATTTTTGACAGAAAAAAATTGAAGTTTGATGGTAAAATTTCAAGACTTTTCACAGCTGCATAAATTTTCCTAACTTTTCCCCGATTTCCATACCGCTTCCAGATCCGTCAACACTGGAAAAAAAACACATTGGATCTAGAGTCCAGACTCTTGAAAACATTGACAAGAAAAAGGACTCTTGATTCAATCAGATTTAAGCTTAAATCAAAAGGAAATCCGCTCAAATTAAGAGGCTTGGTTCTTGATTTAAGCTTGAACCTGATTGAATCAAGAGTATTTTCTCTTGTCGATGTTTTTAGGAGTCTAGACTATGGATCCAATGTGTTTTTTTTTTTCCAGTGGAGCCCTTTTTTTTAAATCAGAAAATTTACAGTCTGCCGCAACGTCTGCTCGATAAAATTCAGAAGTCATCAACGACCCCAGATTCAACAACCTCATCGCGCTGAGGCATGATAAAAAAGTCAAAATTGAAGCCTCCAGTGAGCGACCCCCCCCCCCAACCTAGCCTTGCTGAAAACTAAATCAAATTTACCGAAGAGGCAAAAACGCGACTCGGAAGTGGTAGGCGAGAAGGAGGGAGAAGTAGGGGAGGCAGAAATTCTGGTGGAGGCTAATTAAAAATGAACGCGACAACACACCGACGCGACGTGGTGGAGTTTACGTTAAAAGCATGAAGCCGTTACGGACAGCCGAGCCGAGCTTTTAAAGCCCCGCTTCCACAGACAGTGCACGGCAGGGTGCAATGATTTTAGACCCGGGTCGCCCTTAAGCTATGAGCCACTCACTAGACGTGAATTCAAACCTTATGATACTTGTGCTCCCATCAAAATTTCACGTAGAACATAATTTGTCCGAAGAAAATTATTGAATGAAAATAATTTCTAAAAAAGATATTTACGTAGGTACTCCGCTGCATCAGGGTGTCTACTAAAACAGGCTGGTCAAGAATAAGTACTTTTACAGTACTTTTTCGGTACATTCTCGAGAATTCAGTACCTCCTCCGACAAAAAATCCCGTACTTTTTCAGTACCTCCATTTGACGAAATTAGAAAAATTTCGAAAATTTGAAATTGCGATAAAAATTAAAAAAAAAAATTAAAAAAATTCCGGACCTTTTTGCGGAATTTCCGCACGTTTTCAGTACTTCCGGACCGCCCTTAAAAAATCAGTACTATTTCCGGACTTGTAGACACCCTAATCATAAATTCGAATTCCCCGCTCATGAAGGAAGGGAAAAGAAAAGAAAATATTGAAATAGATTGCCAATTAAACCTTAACGTATGAAAATCTTTGCAAGCAGTATGAAAATTGGGAAACTTTAACATCGGCACTACGGCTCAGGTACTGTAAGTTGTCTATACTGCTAGAAAACAAGGTAGGGAAGGAACACTGCTCGACTGAGAAGTCTGCCAAAACAATTGTAGTGCGCGATTTGACTCAAGTAGACTCGCGTTTTACAATTGAGCGAGGAATACAAATGTTTCGTAACCAATAGCACATAAAACCCTTGATATCTTAGTGTGAAGATAATTTCAGAAATATTCGATGCGCAAATTGTAGGCTAAAACTTGGGACAAAAGTTTTTTTTTTTTTATTATTATTTTTTTGGTTCAAGGCGATCAAATTCGGAAGATAAAGCAAGATTGATCCAACATTGAACAGAAACAGTCAGGTTTAAAATCATCGCACTCTCCCGCGCGAACTCCACATCGCCAGCGCAGCGCCCTGTGGAACCGTGGCTTAACGCAGGATCGCCACCCCCTCCGAATATCGTTAACCATAGACTTCCCTGTCGCTAAAAGTTGCGCCTGGTATTGAGGGCGTGAGCGTCTTCATAATTGGTGTATTAAGGGACCGAGTTCTCCCTTACGTAGACGTAGGTGCGCAAGGAAATACGAAGAGTCTATTGCACACAATATACAGATACATGAACAGACTTTGAAGAGGAAAAATTGTACATGAATCATAATGAGCACATCAAAAATTTCTGAAATGTAAACGCTCTTTGAAGAACAATTTTAACAAATTGTATCACACATTTTCAAATTTCCCGTGTCCGCAAGGACTTTTTCCGAAACACTACTACTCGGACTTCATGTGGGAAATTTTCAACGGGTCAGTAGAAAAATGTCTCTTGGATCCGAAGTTCTGACTCTTAAAAAATTTGACGAGAAGAAATACTATTGATGCAATCGGATTTTCGCTTGAATTGGCAGCCAAGACTCTTCATTTAAACGGATTTCCTTTTGATCCAAGCGAAAATCTGATTGAATCGAAGTATTCTATTTTTTGGTCTAATTTTTTAAAAGTCTAGACTCTGGATCCAGGAGACCTTTTTTTCCAGTTCCTTCTCGAAAGAGCGAGGGAAAATCTAACGGAATTGTGTACCAAAATGGTGACGAAACTTCCTTTAATGGGTGAAATTTGACAGGAGATTGCGAAGTCACAGACCGAGATACGAGGCATAAGAAACCTCGTGTCTGGTGGCCAATTCTGCGACATTAATTTTTTTTTTTTTTTTTTTTTTTTTTTTTTTTATACTTCCATTTTTCTTTTTCCATTAACATTAAAACTGGGAGGCTTATACTGATCTATGCCCACTACTTCCCCTCGTAAGATCATAAAGAATAGCTTATACCCTCTTATTCCTAAATGACTTACGTAATTCTCGAACAACCCCAAAGCTGTGAAGGAATCGCGACGGAGAGTTTGGATCCGCCTGTAGATTCTGGGGGGATAATTTTGGTTGGACTAATACAGTAACTCAAGTTGAACGGTGTGGGGAGGCGTGTGGGTGGTAATTAAGACGTGTGCAGTTAGCGCTCGACGCCTCCCCCGGTGAGAGATCCCTGTGTTGCTAATTGCATAAGTGGCCGTTAGTCATGGGCTCAGGTGGTCGACAGTCGCGACGACAACGTGGTGGCGTTTTTATGAGTTACTTTTCGCCCGCCAGTTTTGGATCATCTCCGAGGGTGTCAAACCGTCGGAGAAATCCACTAAGGTATGGAGTTCACCCCCAAATAAGTTTACGCACTTTTAAAATGCGACGGTGATAGGTCAAAATGTCCAAAAAAAAATGTCCAACAAGCAAGAATGTCCAGAGTTGAGAATGTCCATATTGTAAAAATGTCCAAGTATCTTAAATGTCCAATACTGGTTTTTTGGCCGAAGACAAAAATGCCCAAAAGTCCATTCCCTTTGCAAAAAAATTAGAAGGTGGCGACATTGTCGGCTTGAATACTAAATAAATTCGAATCCATGGAGACGACGGGGAAGATTTGAGAATCTTTTTTTCTTGAACTAACCTCAGTTGTGAAACTTTTTGGCTTTTGTAAAATTTTCGTTTGTTAAAAAATGCGGTAAAACCAATTACAGGGGCAAAATTTTACAATTTGTGATTTTCTTATGATTCTAAACTAAACTAATTGGCGAAAACTTAAAAAATTGGTGATTTTATTGTGATTTTTGTGATGGCGAACCCAAGGCTATTGAAAAGCCAAAAAAATAAACCTGTTCTTATTCATGATGACTTTCTGTATCAACGCCACTCAGCAAACAAAGTGAACACTGTAATTTACTGGAGGTGCCATAACAGGGGTAGCTGTGACGCTCGATGCTCGACAACAGGAAATTTGGAAAATATTTAAATAAAAACCAGCGGGAGCCATAAGCATACACATGCGCCTGACGTTGCCAGTGTTGCTGTGAGAACGTTCTTGTCTCAACTAAAAGAATATGCAACAAATGCACCAAACGAAGGAGCAAGTAACATAGTGAGGGATCACGTTGCTACAATAGACAATGAAGAGGTTTTAGCAATGATGCCCGAGAGAAATGAGATGATGCCTGAGAATAATGAGGAAAGTGATCAAGAATGAAGAATATCTAGAAACAAAAATAAATGGACTTTTGGGCATTTTTGTGTTTGGCCAAAGAACCAGTATTGGACATTTCAGATACTTGGACATTTGTAAAATAGGGACATTCTCAACTCTGGACATTCTTGCTTGTTGGACATTTTTTTTTGGACATTTTGACCTATCACCAATGCGACGGGGGAAAAATCAATATTTACGGTGAAAAATTATGATAACTGCCGAAAACACACAATTTTTTGTAGAGTTGTCGGAATTTTAAGCTTTTTTCTTTTCCCTGCAATTAAAGAACGAACTATTGCAGAGTCTTGAATGACCACTCATTTTAAAGTGAATTTAATGTTCTTTAAAAATGTTTTTTGATCTTTTGGCAGAAACTTAATACTTTTCTTGAAAAATGCAAAAATATCACAAGCTGATTGCTGTAGACGCACGAGTCGTAAGACAGTGAGTTGGAATTTTTTAGCTAACGTGCGTTAAAAATAAGCAAAAAGCTGAAAATCTCAATACAGAGGGAAAAAGCTCACATGAGCACAATTTTCCCTCAAAGAGATTTTAGCTTAAAAAAATGCCAACTCACTGCAAAAATAACTGAAAAAATGCAAATTTTTTAGTGTATTTCAACGTTCTTAGACCATTTCCCCCTAACAATCGTTGAACCGTGTCGAACATTTAGTACGTCGTTTCGGCAGTATAACTACAGAGATTCCCTCAAAAAACGCTTTCGCTGCAATTTATTCCGAGTTGACACCCTTTTTTCGCTATTTTGACCTGACTAGTCCGATATCTTGATTCTTGCTTTTACTTTCAATGCTAAACTGACGTCAGTTTCCGGTCAGTTGCGCTGGTTACAGAATCGTGATATGATGCCTGATTCTTGTGGATCAGCTAAAATTAATTAATTAATCACCCTTTGACAAGTCGGGTTTTTCACGTCATCCACCGCGGTAATGACACCCGTACATTCTTCCACCTTGATTTCTTACGAGTTTCACGTCGAGCAACCAGTGCAATGTGCGTCACACCGATCGATGAAAGCAAGGTGGAAGAAACCAAGGGTGTCACTACCGGGGTGGATGACGTCAAAAGCTCGGCTTTTCAAGCGGCGATATTTCGATTAATATTGAACGTAGAAAGTTGCTGTTTGGACAGATCGTCACCTGCCGGCCAAGTATCACAAGCGCCATGCAACGTTTCAAAATCTCCGCCGCCATTTTATTTTTGGAGAGAAAAATGGTTAGTTAAATCTGTTTGAAAAAGTCAATGAATTTCATCGGCAGCGCAAAAAAAATTCAGTGGCATTTTCGGATGGCTCCGTTGAACAATTTCTCTGAAAGAAATAAAATGGGGCGGAAATTTTGAAACGTGGCGTCGCATGGCGCTTGTGATACTTTGGCCGGAAGGTGACGAGATCTTATTATTTTTAGCTGATCTACAAGAATCGAGCATCAACAAACGATTCTGTGAGCAGCGCAGCCGACCCATTGTACATACAATAAATATTTCTGGATAATTTGCTTTTCCAGGTTGGCTACCCTTTCAAAATCACCGACATGTACTCTCCCCATATCGTAGGGTGTCTACTAAAACAGGCTGGCCGAAAATCAGTACTTTTACAGTACCTTTTCAGTACTTTTTCAGTACATTCCCAAGAAATTTAGTACCTTTTCAACAGAAAAATTCGGTCTTTTCTTGTACCTCCATTTCACGAAATTCGAAAAATTTCAAAATTTTGTATTTATCGCTCAAATTTGCCACAAAAATGAAGAAATTCCGGACCTTCTTGCGAAAATTCCGCACTTTCTCATTACTTCCGGGCCGTCCTTAAAAATCAGTACTTTTTCCGGACTTTCCGGAAATTTCGGACTTGTAGACACCCTGCCATATAGGTACCCTAGACCAAACTCGACAACGGTGCCGTGTCCAGTGTCCAGTTCAGCGAGTAGTTGGCCGTTGCGTCTTGGCCGATAAATTCCATTCGCTCCGGGCGGGGGCTCGGAGCGGGACCGGACGCCGGAGGAAGGCGATTCGAGACGCCTAATTGAGATTTATCCCCGGCGACGAATCCACTTGCAGCCGAACAAGTGCGAGCGGGCGCAATAAAAATTACCGGACGCGCCCCGGAGGGGTAGGCGCTACCGGGACTCCGACTCCGCGAGGGAGGGAGCCAGCGCCCGCACCCAACGACGGATCCAGGCCGTAAAATACCGGCGGAAAGAATAAAAGCCCCGAATGCTGCGGAAAAGGAGTCGAGAGTGCAGCCGATACGCTGTAAATTCACCCGGCCCCTCGCTGAGGTGGGGTCCTCGGAAAGGTCCTCACCAAATTTGCGCCCTTCTCACTTGGAAAGCGTCTTGAGATTCTTTCGATGGAGATGTTGCATGTGTGAGGGATTTGCGATTTGACTGTTGATTCTTATGTAAAAGTTCGCGGGAAACACGATGGTGCCACTGGTTTCCTCTGAAATTAACTCCCAAGCTCAAAAAAAGCTCTCAAGTTGAGGCCAAAATGGAGGGGATATCCCAAGCTATCTTGAGAGTCCACCTCTACATCAAGACAAACTCTCCATGCAAAGATAGGGAGCAAATACATTAGCAGGGTTGCCGTGTTTTCAGTTGTGGAGTCCTCAAATAAAGTGGCAGCCCTGTCAATGTATTTGCTCCGTATCTTTGAATGGAGAGTTCGTCTTGATGTAGAGGTGGACTCTCAGGATAGCGTGGGATATCCCCTCCATTTCGGCCTCAACTTGAGAACTTTTTTTGAGCTTGGGAGTTGATTTCAGAGAAAACAAGTGGCACCATCGTGTTTCTCGCGAACTTTTACGTATGAATCGATAGTCAAATCGCAAATTCCTCACACATGCAACATCTCCATTTAAGAGGTCGGACATGCATTTTTTGACCAAAACTGCAAATCTTGATGTTTCATTCGTCTCATTTTAAATTTTAGGGGGGTGCTTCTGGAAGAAAATTTAACGAGAAAACCAATGGAGCCACTTTTAAAATTCCAAATTTTTGTATACTTGGAATTATAAGCGTTTAACGTTTCCAAATTTCGTCCGACCTCTCCCAATGACTCGGTCCACTATGCGACGGATCCAGGCCGTAAAATACCGGCGGAAAGAATAATAAAAGCTCCGAATGCTGCGGAAAAGGAGTCGAGAGTGCAGCCGATACGCTGTAAATTCACCCGGCCCCTCGCTGAGGTGGGGTCCTCGCAAAGGTCCTCACCAAAGAGCCTCCCAAAAAGTGGCCCCTTTTTTGAAACTCGGGGATTTCATTCGTATGCGGCTTAAATTAAACCTTATGATGAGGCAAGCCTCCAGTAAAAATTTTAGCTTGAGTATACGTCTGGTTTCCAAGATACAGCGTTGCAAAGTTTGCATATTTAAGCTTTAAAAATTTGCATATTTTCAAATATCTTACTTTAAAAAACAACTCCATCAGATATAATCTGTTATTTTGTGACATTTTACCTACAGTCAGTCTTATCTTTAAATCTATATTCCTATTGATACGGTGATACTGCTGATTCTCTTGATACAACGTTGCAAAGTTGACACCAAAGACCTATAAAAATTGCTCATTTTTGTAAGTTTCTGAATGAAAAAACGAACTTATTGATCACCAAAAGATCTGTGTATGGTGTTTAGATGTAACTTTATAATATGATAAGTCTTTTGTATAGGCCTTACCGCAAGCGCAAGTACAGATTTAATGATACAGCGTTGCTAAGTTTATACATTTGAGCTTTAAAAATGTTTATATTTCTAAGTCCTGCGTTTAAACAGCTACTTTCGTGGATCTTCTTTAGAATTTGAAGCATGAAATCTACCAAATGTGTCATTTGTAGCTCTATGTTTGTATTTAAATAGGGATACTTTAATTGGTGGTGACACAGCGTTGCCAAGTTAACAACTTTAAACTCTCGAAATTATTATTTATGCTAGTTAAAGAGGACGTCAATGGGTGTCAGGCCTTATATCAAGGAAAAATGTCGAGGGCTGATGTCAGTTCCAAGTGACGATTGGTATTCGCAAAAATACTTTTGGTAAGTTTATTAATACTTATTTTCAAACAATTAATAATAAAATTATTTTAAAATAAAGATGCCTCCAATAATTGATACTTAATTTTGTTTTTTTAATATTATTTTACTGTTTCTAATTTTTATTTGATTTTATCAATTTTTTTAATTTTTTTCAATATTTTTAATTTTTATTTGATTTTTTTTTATTTTTTCAATTTTTTACAATATTTTTAATTTTTATTTGATTTTTTTTTTATTTTTTCAATTTTTTACAATATTTTTAATTTGTTCAAGTTTTTTCAATATTTTTCATTTTTTCATTTTTTTTTAAAAAAACAGTGGAGGTACTCTATTTTGCAAGGCATAATGAATGTATTCTCTGGATCAATATTTATTTATACTTAAAAAAACTCGGCAAATTCTGTATTCTATGTTTATTTTTTTCATTCTACTTTAAAAACGGTTAAATTGGCAACTATGGCGAGGCATAATTTGTTGGATTTTGAAAGCAATGCTGGTGCTGCGAGCATTTCATCGAGCATGGCAAAGTCTCTTGAATTTGATTTTGAAATTAGATAATTATTGGAAGTATCCTAATTTTAATTTTATTTTATGATTAAATGTTGAGATAAAAAAAAGATAAATAGGCAACAGTGTCATTTTTTACACCAACTGTCACTTAGAATTAACAAGATTCCTTGTATTTCACTTTACAATATCGAAACATGTTTGATCGGAGTTGTCTCTCATAAGTAAACAAGAGAAAAGACATTTTCAGAGATTTAGGATGTAAACTGTGCAACGCTGTGTTACTTGAAATCATTGTAGCCTTTTATCAATGCAACTATGCATCCAAAAGTATCACTAGGGGTTAATTTTATCCCTCAAAACGCAGTTTGATATTCACTAAAATTGGTTTTTAAACAAGAAACTTAAAAATATGAGCATCTTTAAAGCTCAGAAAGGTAAACTTGCAACGTTGCACTACCAAAACAGGGGTCATGCATGAGCTAAAACTTTTGATGGAGGCTTTTTTTATCATTATGCTTCATTTACGCTTTGTTTTAGATTGTAAAGTTCACTCTGATGGTGGTTTTAGGAAGATAATATTTGAAACTATGAAGATTTTTAAAGCTTAAATATGCAAACTTTGCAACGCTGTATCTCCGAAACCAGACGTATACTCAAGCTAAAATTTTTACTGGAGTCTTAGGTCATCATAAGGTTTCGTTTAGGCCACATTTGAATGAAATCCCCGAGTTTCAGAAAAGGGGCCAAAAAAGGCTCTTTTTTTGGGAGGCTCTTTGCGCCCTTCTCGCTTGGAAAGCGTCTTGAGGTTCTTTCAATTTTCGATTCACAACTTTTCGAGATGTTTTAAGTCTTGGAAACGGTCTCTGCACAGAGCACAAGGTGGCGAAATTTCATGGAAAATAAAATATTGAAATTTCACGTGAAAAATTTCATAAAATTTCAAAGATGTATGAAAGATATTGAAAAAAGCCTTTTTTACATGTGTCGCAAAATGTAAAATTTGTTACTTTCTTCTATTTTTGTGTGTTTGTGTAGTTTGTGTGTGTTGTGTAGACGTTAATAATGCGCTGCGATATGATCTACTGTTATAATTTACTTCTTGACGAAAAACACGGCACTGACCTGGTAGCTGAGTTCCTGATCGAAAACGGCTCTATTTTCAGGGCAGTCGTGGATGCAAGCCAGTAGCACCGGGAACAGGAGCCTTGTCAGATTCGGGTTGCTGAAGTAAGGAAACGGAAGGTTGCACAACTGCTGCAGGACGGTCGGCATGTGTCCCGTTTGTAACATTAACTAAAAAAGAAAGCAAAGAGAAACAAAATCACGTAAATTAAAATGCAGATGGAATCAAAACGAAAATAGGTGATCGAATATTTTTTGTAACCTAAGTATGCGTGACGATATCAATGCTACCACCATTCGACCACGAGGGAGCCCGTGTTGCCTATGCTAAAAATTGAAGGAAAACTGACATGCCGTTGGAGTAACCTCTCCCCATCCAGTTAGAGGATATCCTGAGTGTGTGTCACGAGTGAATCGTCATATCACGATGATACCACTATTCGACCACGTGGGAGCCCGTGTTGCCTATGCTAAAAATTGAAGGAAAACTGACATGCCGTTGGAGTAACCTCTCCCCATCCAGTTAGAGGATATCCTGAGTGTGTGTTACGAGTGAATCGTCATATCACGATGATACCACTATTCGACCACGTGGGAGCCCGTGTTGCCTATACCAAATATTGAAGACAAACTGACAAGGCGTTAAAGTGATACATTTCCAGTTCGGTCGGAAGCTATATTTTGTGTGTGTTACGAGTAAACGTGCGTTCGATTTTATCATCTTATATGGCTATTAGTTTTAACGTTGACGCAACGCGGACCGCCTAATTTTGAAGTAAAATGGTCTCGAAGCAGAAGGAGAGGAATCTTCGAGTTCTGACATAGAATTTCAGATGAATTCCTCTTATTTATGGGATATTTTCGTAGTCTTTGGTGAATTCCGGCATTGTTCTGTCTTTTTTCAAATTCTGGGCATCGCGATTCAAATACGATTCTGTGACACACAAAAGAGTCATTTGAAGAGTCGACAGGACTCGATAGTACATCCATGAAAATTTCGTATTTAAAGCTTTCAAACCCTCTTGTATCAAGTTCTCTCCAATCCTCAATTTCAAAACAATCACTTCAATCTTCTGTCGCAAAAAAACAGAAAAATCACGTCGATTTTATGGAAATCAGCAGTTAATTTTTCCGACCGGCAAACGTATGAAATCAAACGATTTTTGTTCAATTTAGGTCTAAAATCCCAATAAGTCGACGACGCTGATGTAATACGTGAAACCGTTCATACATTGGAAAAAAAGTCTCGTGGATCCAGAGTCTAGACTCCTGAAAAATTCGACAAGAAAAACTGCTCTTGATTAAATCGGATTTTTGCTTGCATCGAGAGCCATAATAATATAAGCGGATTTCCTTTTGATTCAAGCAAAAATTCGATTGAATCGAGAGTATTTTTTCTTGTCAATTTGTTTAAGAGTCTGGACTTAGGATCCAAGAGACTATATTTTAATCCAGTGCATTTTTCATTTTATTAGACAGTCCCGATTTTTTTGGGAAAAAATTCAATTAATTCTAGGAAATCGATTTTTTCCAAAAAGCGTCATTGCCACTCTTCACTTGAATGAAACGACTTTTCAACTCGTATAATGACTGGCCAATTCTCACGAGTTCGGTTTCCTGCGGGCGACTACAGGTGACTTACACCCCGCACCGCGCCAGCAAGCCGCGAGAAGAGGACATCACACCTGTGTGCCTTGTACCCTTCCCTCCCCCAAGTTCAGTTTCCGAATTGTAACCGAGCTGATGCACCCCAAACTTGAATATTCCCACGATCACTTGACGAATCCACGCGACAAACGAAAGCCGAGGGTTTCCGCTCCGCGTCGGAAACTTCCTTCTTCATTACCGATGACGGAAATGTCATGCGTAAGATGCAAGGTGCGTAATTAGAGTCTAGTTTTTTTACGTGTCTACGCTGGTAATGCGGGATGGAGCTGATGTAAGGAGGGAGGGAAATAGCGGTTCTGCGAGATGGTATTGACGGTAGTAAGAAATCAGGGTGTCTACGGAAACAGACTAACCAGAAATTAGTACTTCTTCAGTACTTTTTTAGCACGTTCCCAAGAAATTCGGTACTTTCTCAGTACCTCCAATCAGCGAAATTCGAAAAATTACAATTTCTCGCTCAAATTGCGACAAAAGTGACAAAAAATGAAAAAAATTCCTGACCATTTCGCGGAATTTCGGCACTTCCCCAGTACTTCCGGACCGCCCTTAAAAAATTAGCACTATTTCCAGACTTTCCGGAAATTCCAGACTTTCCGGAAATTCCGGACTTGTGTCTGCAACACTGGAAACCCTGGAAATAGACGGTAAGGCAACGGGGTGCTTACAATATTTTGGGGGGCAAAGTTTCGGACAAATCCCTGACTTTTTCTATGGGCTATTCAAATATTACGTGGGACATTTCAGCCGAATTTTTGGCCCCCTATTTTTCAGAAATTAGCGGAGGAAGCTTGAAAATAGTTGAAAACATGCTTCCACTTGGTATACATGAATTTTTATTGAAATAGGAGTCAGCCTGGGCTTTTAGAGCTCTTAAAACCTGAAATTTGAATTCGTAGAAATCCGTGGAGATAAGTTATAAGGGGGAAACATTTGGAACCCTCAATCTACGGAGTAAAATCGGAGTCATGCACATTCCACGTGACCACTTACACAGTTTTGGGTGAGCCACTAAAAAAAGACGGAAAAAAGGTGGAAAAATTCATGATGCACGAGCATTTTTCGAAAAATCAGACGGTTGCATTTTTAAAACTACACGGAAATGTTCGTGATTGAAAACTTCGAAAAATGTGACGTAAAATGTCAACTTTGAAACGTATCGAATCGAACGTCGAACCTAAATCCATTTCAGATTTTCAGTTTTTTAACGATGAAGCTTTTCAGTTTCCGGGTTTTTTGTTTCAGTTTTTTCCCTCAATTTTGTCGGCTCTAGCAACTCAATATTAAGGTGCTCGACTGCTCGTGCCCTGTAATTTTTTCCAAAAACAAGGAAAAAAGGGCAACATTAGACATGAAATACGAGGAACGAGAAATTATGTGGGTTCAGTGGCGTGGCGTGCTTTGCGACATATCGATTGATCTGCCATTTAAATCTATTAAAAAGGATCGATAAACAGGGTGGTACGAACTCCTTAGTAATCGATTCTTTGCCATAGCTTCAAATGTGGAAATATCGATAATCGATTATTCACGCCTCGCCACTGTTTGGGTAGGGAAAGATAGAGGTAAATAAGCCTATGGAACATTTTGATTGGGGGGGGGGAGGAGGAGGAGGACAATATTGTACTGTAAAAACATAGTAACAACATTTTATTGTAGTCACAATATAAATAGTCACTTGCGATAAGTCTGATGCCTTTCAGTAAAGTGCTCTCTTGTCAGGTTAGAGGTCCAAAATGCCGGAAAAGTGCGTTATATAATTGGACGTATTTCTATCAAACAGAACTATGTGCATTAAGACAAGAGCCCTGAGCTCCATGAGAATACATGCATAATAGAGCTCACGTCATAATGCACATAGTTCCGTTTGATAGAAATACGTACAATTTATGGACGGCCTGGGCCCCTCTGGCTGGAAAACAAGGCAGGCAATGTGACGCATCAAGTATCAAATACCATTTTTTCGAAAATGCAATTTTTCCTGACTTTTTGCTTGACCTTTCCTATTTCCCGAGTTTTTTCGCTTCTATACACCCAATTATCTCCGACTTTTGTCCAGATTTTCGGGAGTGACCAAATCGAGAACTTCAGGGTGTCGTAAGAATGTTTGGTACTGATAACCGAGGTTTATTTTCCAGTGGGCGTGGCGTGCTTTGCGATAAATCGATTGTTGTACCATTTAAACCTACGGAAAAAGATCGATAAACAGGGTGATCGCAGCGAACACCTTAATAATCGATTCTATACCATAGGTTCAAATGGCAGACCAATCGATACATCGCAATTCACGCCACGCCACTGTTATTTTCCCTCCTCCTACGAAACCAGGAAAAATGTCCGACTGAATGCCCTCTCCAGATGTGTCTTTCGAATTGAAACCATCTCCAAATCCACTGCAAAGAGTAAATGTACAGAGGTGACAAGATACACAGAACGGCTCCGGTGGAGATATTCCGGGGAACGCTTGGGAAGGAGGGGGGGGGGGTTAAGCGCCGCCTCGGTTATCTGAAATGGTCTCATCTTCTTCGGCCGAGAAACAAAGCCAACTTGCTTGCATTTTAACGCCGTCGGTAGAGTTGTTGCAAAATCGCTTGGGAAAATTCCGGAATTCTGCCGTGCTCAAGAAGAACATCGTATGGACGTTCGGGTGTTGCAAAAATTTCTGCTTGTATAAAAATTTTTTTTTTTAGGAAAGTTATGAATACATTTTCTTGAAACTGTCTGATACTTACAGATACAGAGATGCTTCATTGCCAAAACTCCTGACTTTCCCTAACTTTTTTAGCTTTTCCCTTTCCCTGACTTTTTCTTGTCTTTCCCTGGCAGTACTCAAACTAGACTCTTTTTCTTCCAAATTGGTTGACTTTTGCTCAACTTAGGACAAATTTTCACTTCTGAGGATTCGAATTATGAAAAGCATTCAAAAGTTTTGTCAAAAAGTTGTCAATGGTGCGGAGGAGCCGACGAACTACTCTCGAAAGTACTTTATATTATTCCCACACATTCTGAGTTTCTCGGTTTTCCAGACCACCATGAACCATACATTGAATTGCGAAGAAAATTCAAGAAAAAAAAATCACAAATGGGCTACTAGACAAGTTCTGAAGTAAAAGAAAATGTCACATGTCACCTCTTCAAAAACTTACTTAGATGACAATTCACACGACGGGAAGTACTAAAAAAACTCTTGAGCGAGATGTTGACAATGGACCACTAGACAAGGTACGAATTTCAGCATTCTGATACATGTTTCTTAACCAAAATTTCACGTAGAACACGATGCGCTCAACGAAAATTACCGAAATTAATACTTTACGAAGATATTTAATGATTCTTAATGCGTGAATTTAAACCATCCACTCATGAAAACTCAATGCTCTACGTGATTCACATCGAGCGCTAAACATTATCATGACAGTTTCTGCGATATAAAAATCTGGCAACCTCGATCTTGACGCTTTGGCTCAGCTACAGCAAATTGCTTATAGTTTGACCAACACATGGTGGGAAATGAACATTGCTCGATTGAGAAGCTTCCTGAAACCGTTGTAGTGCGCGATTTGACTCACGTAGAGCTTTGAGTTTCTAGTGAGCGGGCAGTTCAAATTCCTCGTAACCAATGTGTAATAAAAACGTTAATATCTTCGTTAAAAGTTGGTTTCAGTAATTTTCGTTGTAAGAATCGTGTTTTACGTAAAATTCTGGTTAAGAAACATGTATCAGATTGCTTAAATTCGTACCTTGTCTAGTGGCCCATTATTTTAAACACAGATCAAATAGAAGTTCGATTATACATATGACGTCATTTGTATTTTTGCCATTTGACCGATGTTAATAGAGAACAACTGTGTCTTGTTCAGGAATTGATTTTTTGACTTTTCGTCGTAAGATTTGTTTTCCTCGTGGAATTTTGAAGAGAAAATGCGTGGCGTTCACTGAAAAAAAAACTCCGGCCTTGGGAACCGTACTTACGGACTATATAACCATACCGTACGCGTTCCGGGCTCAGAGGCCGAAAGTTCCGAGCGTAGCACCCGAAGCAATCGAAGCTACGCTCCAGCACCCGGAACTTTCGGCCTCAGAGAGCCCGAACGGACGGTATGTCCATAGAATATAAAACCCGTAATTTTTTTTTTTTTTCAGTGTTCTGCTTTAATATGAATTAGTGAAAATGAATGGGCCTCTAGAAAGTTATGAACCTCGTCTAGAGGCCCATTTTCCGGAAAATGCGTACTTGACAAAAAAAATTTGGCAACGTTGGAATGCTGATAGGGGGTTTTTCCCGAGGATGATAAAATTCTAGGTGGTTTGGCGGGAGGAGACTGGTTAGCGGCGGCGCCGCACAGTGGATCGAGTCAACAGGAGAGGTCGGACAAAATTTGGAAACTTCAAACGCTTATAACTCCGTCTATACAAAACTTTGAGGTTCTATAAGTGATTCCATTGGTTTTCTCGTAAATTTTTTTTCACGAAGCATCCCTTAAAGTTCAAAATGTGACGAAACAAACATGAAAATTTGTAGTTTTAGTCAAAAATTTCATGTCCGACCTCTCTCATTGACTCGATCCACCGTGCGCCGGGAGCGAGAATCCGAGGATGGAACTTGATGGCCGCGGTCTAATGACAAACACCACTTACGCGCCGATCGCGGTGGGAATCGAAATAAAATCGAAAGGACCGAATCCAGAGTGGCCGGACTCGCCGCGGCAAATGAGAGGGATAAAAATGGATGGCGCCTTTTAAGATCTCCTTTGATCTTGTCCCGCCACGATGCGGTGTCCATCTTCGGATGATTCGCTTATCTCCGTACCTTCGATTCAGATAATTTCAGGGGGTCAGGTCGAGTCACTTCTGGGTCGGACACGGTGCTATCTCTCCAACGGGTTGCTATGTTACAAGCAAGAGAGCAGTAAAACCCAAATTTTCGTTTTCCTTTAAAATTATTCAACTAATCGAATTTAAATGAGCTAACTCCAAAAGTTGACATAAAAACAGATCGTCCTAATTGTATAAAACAAGAGCTACGAGGAAAGCAGAGGCTGTCCGGAAATTGACGTTATTCCGGACAAAACAGCGGTCACACTATTCCGCGGATGAGTGATACTGTACATGTATATGTACATACTGTTGTATTGAGTAAAATTGTACCCTTTTTTCAAATGCTCAAACTTTATATGTTAAAACTCTTATTTTGCACATCCAGAACGTAATCACGCAAAGATGCAGAGCACATCACAAGCTGTCATCTTGCATGATGAGTAAGGCCCTCTGTGTACACTGGAAAAAAAAGAATCTTAAATTTGCCGCCAAGAAGTATTTCTTCTTAAATCAAGAATTTTGCTGGTTAATATAAGCTACTTTTTTGCTTAACCCAAGCAATATTTTTCTTGAATCAAGAAAAAGTCAGCTTAAAGCAAGATAAAGAAAATTCTCGGCGGCAAATTCAAGAATTATCATGCTTGATCCAAGCTACTTTTTTTTTCAGTGTACAGTCGAACATAGAATTCCGTCAATTTTGAATTATCAGAACTGTTTCTTACTGAATATTTTATGTAGAATGGAAGCTTCGGTCGAGAAAATGTTCCGTTTAGCCACGGCTAGGTTTATTATCTCACAACATCATTTTTACAATCATTGCTATGTATAGTGATACGACAGTACAAGCAGTGCATAACTTCGTCGAAATGGAGGAGCTAGAGGTTAGAAGTTGGAAATTCGGAAACCTTCGTATCAGATCCAGAACTCTTTGTTGCCATCTTGATTCTATAGCTAAATCCAAAACTGGGGGCGAAAAGGCTGCCATGAAAGCCTAAAACTCGCCAACCAATCGGAGAATGGCACATTTTTTCCGTAGTAAAAAAGTAGAAATAACGATACTATTCCTCAATAGGTGCATTAAATCACACCAATTTGGCTAAATTTAACTGTGTTAGAAGCCTCTAGAACGAGCGTTATCAAGGCAAACAGCACGCACAACGCAAAAAACAGATGGTTTCATCTAATGGGTAAAATATTTTAAAGTTCTATTAGTTTTGTCACACTTTAAACTAAACCGTGAAGAGAGATTTTCCTACAGAACGAAGAACACTTGTTCTATGCTCTGACTAGATTACGGCTTACCCAAAGAATTCTAATTGCGGCAACTATAATTCTAGCTGGATAGCGCGAAAAATCTGATTTGAAGACCAAACTTGTCGGTTCCCCGGACTATGGTCATTGTATTCCCAATCTATTTATATCTCTTTCGATACACAAGCAATAACGTATACACTAGTAATGAAATACAAGCGCTTTACTTACTTGATTATCGTTATTTCCGACGGCGAAATATCCGACAAGTTCGACCACTTGATGAAGGAGTTCGGTTTCGTTTTTGTTCTGGGAACAATACCACAGTAAGTAACTTGCGATGTGACGGAATTGCAAGGAAATTCCTTCAGCTCCAAGAACGCTCTGTGAATCAAACAAAACATATCTTTACATGTAAATAAACTTAAAAGAAGGGGATAAAAAGGGGGAAAAAATCAGTCTTGCTGAAAATTACAGTGCAGAAACTATAAAAATTCAGATCCATTAAACTGCCGCAATTTCCTTAAAAGAATAAAAAGTGTAGGGAGTTTGGATGTGAAAATGAGACATCAAACATTCCCCTGGATATAACAAATTCAACTCAACTGAAGAAAGAAAAGAGAGCGCGAGAGAATGTAGCGGGAGTTCAAAACGCCTTCATTGAACTAAGTAGGCCAACCCACAGACAGTTGAGCGCAGTCTCAAAGCCAGGTTCATCATATTTACGCGGCGTCGCATTCTGACGTTCTGTTGTCATAAACGGATGGCAGATAACCTAAGCTTTCTTCCTCTATTGAAGAGGATGGACCGCTAAGAAGTATCATCAAGGGGTGGTTCTGAAAATTAAGGGCTCATTTTTAAAATGTGCATGCGAAACATCCCAACAACTGGACAGTCATCTTTGCCTCTCATAGTCTTACATTGAATACTCATTAGAGCTCAAATTTTCGACTAAAATTGAAATTTTTGAACTTATTGACCTTGCTTTCCCCGCAAAATAGTGTGGACCCAGCACTATCTTATTATCTTGTTACGTACAGTTCCCGCTACATTTTTTGGTGTTTTTTTTATATTAGGTAAGAGCTTCGCTAGAATATACGTATTGTAAGGTTCATTTTCTTAAAACTTCATTTTTGGACTTGCTGCTCTCTTCGGTAAGAGACCATCTACATGATATCAAGGTCTCGAAAGGAGAAGGAGAGGAATTAAAGGGTGCCAAATAATACGTGCCTGACATAGCAGGAGGGGAAAGAAAAGGTGACAAAAAATCGCAAAAAAAGAACCTAAGCCCAAACACGGCAGGGATTTTCCCCGCATTATGAGACTCTGAGACAGTGGCAATCTTTGATAGCCGGCAACGGCTATTCCTTCCTTCAAAATAATGTATGTAAAACAATCAATTCTTGGTGAGGCTGCTTGCCTAGCCTGAAATCTATATGTATAGTGGATTTAAACGGGGTCAACTGCGGGAGAACACTACTTTTCCTCCGTTTAAATGTATGCAAAACAATCGATTTTAGGCGAAACAAGCCAAAAAATTGCCAAAAAAGTAACTGAGCCCAAACACAGCAGGGATTTTCCCCGTATTATGAGACTCTGAGACGATGGCAATCTTTGAAAGCCGGCAACGGCTATTCCTTCCTTCAGATGTATGTAAAACAATCGATTCTTGGTGAGGCAGCTTGTCTCTCCTGAAATCGATATTTATGAGGGATTTAAACGGGATCCGCTGCGAGGTAACAAAGGCGCTTTTCCTTCGTTTAAATGTATATGTAAAACAATCGATTTTAGGCAAAGCAAGCCAAAAAATTGTAAAAAAAGGAACTAAGCCAAAACACAGCAGGGATTTTCCCCGTATTATGAGACTCTGAGACAGTGACGATTCTTGAAAGTCGACAACACTGCTTTTCCTCCCTTTAAATGTATGCAAAACAATCGATTCTCGGTGAGGCAGCTTGCCTCGCCTGAAATCGATATTTATAATGGATTTAAACGGGGTCCACCAACCGTGTCTCGGTCTCATCCCAGGGGCCGGGAACGGGGACAGGTCGGTTCCCTCCGTTTAATTGTATGCAAAACAATCGATTTTAAGCGAAGCAAGCCAAAAAATTGCAAAAAAAGGAACTGAGCCCAAGCACAGCAGGAATTTTCCCCGTGTTATGAGACTCTGAGACAGTGACGATTCTTGAAAGTCGACAACACTGCTTTCCCTCCATTTAAATGTATGCAAAACAATCGATTCTCGGAGAGGCAGCTTGCCTCACCCGAAATCGATATTTATGATGGATTTAAACGGGGTCCGCTGCGGGGTAACACAGCTGCTTTTCCTCCGTTTAAATGTAAGTAAAACAATCGATTTTGAGCGAAGCAAGCCAAAAAATTGCAAAAAAAGGAACTGAGCTCAAACACAGCAGGGATTTTCCCGGTATTATGAGATAATGAGATATGGATAATGATTTATGAGATAATGGCGATTCTTGAAAATTGGCACTACTGCTTTTCCTCCATTTAAATGTATGCAAACAATCGATTCTCGGAGAGGCAGCTTTCCTCGCCTGAAATCGATATTTATAATGGATTTAAACGGGGTCCACCGTGTCTCGGTCTCCGTCTCATCCCAGGGGCCGGGAACGGGGACAGGTCGGCCGGAGCGGGGCCGAACGGCTCGGGAAATCGGCGCGCGGAGAGGATGCGAGATTTGTTTGCGCTGCATTTGTTTGTACTTGGGTTTTAATTGAATCATATCAACATTAGCATCCGCAACCGGGCTCCCCTCGGCGGCCTGGAAACTCCTCCGCTTTTATTAGCTTTCGAAAGCGATTCAACTTTCCTTGTTTGCAGTTCACCCACTTGACGAGCTCCCGCTTTCCCGCCGCGATTCCTTCCCGTTTCCGCGGCGGTGTTGCCTGTTCGCCGAGGAATTGCGGGATTTCCCCGTTTGGATCCGAGGAGATTCAAGCGCCGAGAATCAAAAGCTCCGATCTCCATTCCGATGTCTAAAAATTTGGTTATGTTCAATTTTTAAAAACGAGTGATCAATAAGACAATATGCGTAAATTTCTTACCACACTTTTTTTTACTACACTGGAAAAAAAAAACACATTGGATCTAGAGTCCAGACTCTTGAAAACATCAACAAGAAAAAATACTCTTGATTCAATCAGATTTTTGCTTAAATCAAAAGGAAATCTGCTCAAATTAAGAGGCTTGGTTCTTGATTTAAGCAAAAATCCGATTGAATCAAGAGTATTTTGTCATGTCGATGTTTCTAAGAGTCTGGACTACAGATCCAATGGGTTTTTTTTCCAGTGTAACAAGTAGAGAATTCTTGAAAAAGTACCAGAATAGAAACTCGCCTGCTCTGTTTAAAATGAATTAAAACGGATGCCAAATTTTCAGACAGCGCGATGGGATTGCAGGTTTTGATCCTCAATTACTCGAGTTTAACCCGAAAATCTGCTGACTTTCAAAATTCGCACGCTTGCCGCGTCTATTGGTAACTGACTGATTAAAGGGGTTCGGTATATCGGACGAAACGTCGACCCTCTTCCAGAGTTGCAAAATTGACTTGAATAATTCAATTTTTTAAAGGTTATAACTGAGCGATTTACGTTGAAAATGTTGCTGATTTTAGCAGGGCCGGATTTACCTACTTGCCGCCCATGGGCCGCCTGTATTTTGCCGCCCCCTTCTCATTCGTTTTGAAACATCAATAAAAACCATCAAGTGAACGTGACGGAGGGGGCGGGGTGCATAAGACGCGTTTACTCATGTTGGACACACTTTTTGCGAAAGCCCTTTCAACACTACTTGCAAAAGTTCATGCAACTTTGCGCGAAAGTTAATTTTATTAGAAAAGAACGAAAAAATTACATATATAAAAGAACAAACATAAATATGGTTTAATAATTTCAACTTCCACCGCACCGCGCTGACCGAACTGTGATTTTGCGCAATGCGTGAAGTATTCCTACAGTCTTGCAGGCGCTATGCGTTTCTCGCCGAACGCTGCTGGCCGCACTAAGTCTCGCCGACCGCTGCTGGCCGCACTATGTTTGACGTAATGCAGGGTGTATTCGTGCAGTCTTGTACTACTTCAATATTGAGCTTCCATCGCCTTGCTAAGGCGCAGGGATACAACTATTTGACCTCTCCGGAACGCGTGAGGTATCACTCCTCAATTGAAGGCGTTTTCGAATCTTCTGTTTTTACAAAACGAGATTTTCTGGTCCCATAACATTCGGAGCATGGAAGAAAGGGAATGACTGATCTTCCAAGCTACTGCCACGGTTACGCGCGCATCCCCATGTTTTAAATTTTTGTAAATTACTTTCTTGAATGTCCGTCGATATCAAAATCAACTAGAAAATTGATTGTGAACTCGAAATTTGCTCGGACATAAATCGGTTCTAATTTCAGCTTTTTAAACATATTTTGTAACCAAATTGCTTTGCATTATATTGTTGATTTGAGTTCCTTTTAATATTTAGTTTAATTACTCCTGCTACTTAATATTTAATTATTCTGCAAAAATTATTCATTTAGGAAATACAATCCTGGCTTTAGTGCCCATAAACTACGGCCTCAACGGTCGAAACTGACGTAACGGTAGCGGCCCAGGATAACCGAAAAACCAAGCGGCGACGCTACTTCAATATTGAGCTTCCATCGCCTTGCTAAGGCGCAGGGATACAACTATTTGAACTCTTCGGAACGCGTGAGGTATCACTCCTCAATTGAAGGCGTTTTCGAATCTTCTGTTTTCACATAACGAGATTTTCTGGTCCCATAACATTCGGAGCATGGAAGAAAGGGAATGACTAATCTTCCGAGCTACTTCCACGGTTACGCACGCATCCCCATGTTTTAAATTTTTGTATATTACTTTCTCTTCCCCTTGATTTGATTTTTTGTGCCTTGCTTTTGTTCCAGTTAATTATGAGATCAAAATTTGCTCGGACGTGCTTTCGCTCCAATTTAAGCTTTAAATACACGTTTTTTATCGCAGTTCTTTGTATTTTATTGTTGGTTTGAGTAACTTCTTTTGGGTGAAATTCCTGTCGCTTCCTTGTTCTTAATTCTTCCATACAAATTATCCATTTGCTAAATACTAGCTTAGCTTACACTATGCGGTCAAAACTGCAGTACCGGCAAAGGAATAACCCGAAATGGCTAGCGGGAAAGCTGCTTCAATATTAATCTTCCATCTTCTTAGTAAGGCGCAGGTATACAACTATTTGAACTCTCCGGAACGCGTGAGTATCACGCCTCAATTGAAGGCGTTTTCGAATCTTCTGTATTTACATGACGAAATTTTCCAAATTGTTTTGCATTATAATTTAGATTTGAGTACCCTTTATTATTCAATTAAATTACTCCTGCTTCTTAATTTTTAATTATTCTGCAAATATCATCCATTTCTGAAATACAACCCTGGCTTCAGCGCCCTTAAACTACGGCCTTAACGGTCGATACTGCAGTAGCGGCACAGGAAAATGGAGAAACCAAGCGGTGACGCTATAGTCCAGGCGCCTGGTAAGTCTACCTGGAATTTTGGGTGCACAGCGATTTTTTTTTTGGCTTACTTTATGTTTTTTGGGTCGCTGAATCCGAATCTGAAGTTTCCTACCGCGTATCTGGTGAGCATTTTCCGCCATATTGAATAAATTGCCTAAAAAGGCCTTTTTTTTGCGTTTTTTTTATATAGCGGCTACGCATGTGAAAAAGTCCCGGATTTAGTTAATGTTTTGAATATCTGACATAATTTGGAAGAAAATGGTATATGAACATGCTAGGTTTGCTCAAAAATTGAGGAACCTCGGATCTCGGAACTTCGGAACGCTTCGGAACTTGGCTGTTTGCGGCGAGCCGGATCGCGCGTTGACGGGTCCGCCGCGAAAACGTGAATGGGCGCGATGTTCACGATGTTGTATCTTCCTCAATTTTTAAGCAAACCTAGCATATGTATACACCATTTTCTTCCAAATTATGTCAGCTATTCAAAACATTAACTAAATCTGGGCCTTTTTCTCATGCGTAGCCGCTTTATCCAAAAAACCGCAAAAAAGGCCTTTTTAGGCCATTTTTTCAAAATGCCGGAAAATGCTCACCAGATACGCGGTAGGAAACTTCAGATTCGGATTCAGCGACCCAAAAGACATGAAGTAAGCCAAAAAAATCGCTGTGTACCCGAAATTCCAGGTAGCCTCATTTTTAGCTACCAGGCGCCAGGACTATCATGCCAACCGCCGCGCCGAGGGCTTCTTCTTTTCATCTCCAGTTCTCGTCATCATTGTTCTCTGCACCGCGCCATTTCAAGCCAAATTTCGTGTTTGGTTTCTCTCTTAACTCAACTAATTACAGGTGATGTCTCTTGTATCACCGAAAGACGAAAAAATTAGAAATTACTATACTCTCAGGAAATGAGGGTTTTTGTCGCCTTTTCTCGTTTGTAATTTTTTTTCTGAATCCGATTTTTTTGTGCCTACATTTAAAAAAGTGCAAAATTTGCCGCCCCCTCAATTTGCCGCCATGGGCCGCGGCCCATGTGGCCACCCCCTAAATCGGGCCCTGGATTTTGGCGTGTAATCAGGAGAAAAATCAGTGAGCTTTTCAGTTAAAACTGCCCGAAAAACGAATACTTGATAAGAATACAATTTACAGCGAGAAATTTTGCGACGCTGAGATGCAGTTACGAACTCTCGCGGCAGAAACGATGATAATATAGTGAGTAAAACGGACTTATCGGATTTTGGAGTCTAAAATCGCGTTGCAAAAGTCATAGTTTTTACGATTTTCAATGATCATTGGTCAACTTCTTCCCAAAATCCTATCTTCCATTTCTTCTCTCTTTATGTACAAATATTGGCAATGGAATTTAGTCACTTTGGTTTCTGCTTAAGGTTCAAGACAGTTGAAAATTCTCTCACTGCTGTTAAGTGTTCCCCTTTTTTTCTCGTTTAACGCCTTGATTTTTGTTCGATACGTCTGAGACACAAGAGGGTAATGAATGTTGCCATCAAGGCACGCTAGGCTCGGAGGGTTAACTGGTCTTCCCGACTTTTCACGTCTAATCATGGACATTATGCTGTTTTGAACTTACATTGAAGAGAAATGGATCTTGAACTATTTAACCTAAAAATTGTAAAATACGGGAGTCGATGGGTTTGAATTACGAGCTTTCAAGATATCGCGAAAGAAACTAACGTAGGTAGAAAAAATTGTGATTGATTTGGATCGATCTTTGTTCTTTGTGGATACGCGACGAGTTTGGCGTCACAGTACCTGTTTTTGCCTAACCATTAAAATTAAGGCAAAAGACAGGGCGCGAGGCTCCGTGTCACACAATGCCAAGCGAGCATAAGAAAGACGGCATTGTCCGCCTTCGATTGAAGGAAAGGCAAAATCGGACGCAACTCGTTTGGACGAATAGTCGTATTCTTACAGGCTGACCGGCGTACTTCATCTTCTTGCGAACCTTTTCATAGTTTCAATAAGAACTGAACACGGCTGGCGTGCGTAAAGACTGTCTATAAATTACGACAGCCACTTTGTTCATATTTTTGACCCCTTCCTCCTTCATGTCAACCCCCCCCCCTCACTCCCAACCACCATAAAGGGATTTTTCAGTTAGTCATGAACATAGAGTACATAGAGTCGTAATGTAAGGGGGAGAGCTGGCGCCACTTTAAGGCATTTTCCATGTCCCAAATTCCGAGACTCCTGTGTGACGCCGGGTCACTTTTTCGATACATAATCGATTGTTTGCGATACACGGGTACCCGGCCATCCGATGACAACAACAACAACAACAACAACAACAACAACAAAGGAGATAGGAATTACTACGTATTCCACACCGCCATTTTGGATCGAAAAAGCGACCCGAACTCGGCGCACACCGCGCTCGGAATTCGTCGAGCAGAACATGGCGCCAGCTATCCCATTTACATTACGACTCTATGAACTCTGTGGTGGTCATGAACTACCGCTTCCCCTAAATACTCAACTGTACAAGAAGAAAGAAAAAAAAAAGAAGGAAAAAACTGCTTGAAGAGAGAAATAAATCGGAAAAACGGGTTTGTTCATTACCTGGAACAGCTTCAATTGTAACTGCGCGCAAGTCGCTAGGAATTTCATGGTGGCCGTGGCAACGGTCAAGGTGTGCGATGGTAACGTCTGCGGGGCTCCCTGGTGGAGCAACATTCCGTACAAAAGAGAGACGGCCCCCATAAGTTCGGTGTCTTTCAGTTTCTCTAGAAGACGGGTTCCGTTTTCCGGACACCTGGAACGCGTGAGAGACAGTGTTAGTTGGATGACATTATTTTTTGATTAGTTGGAGCAAAACGCGAACCTGAGATACGAGGGTCATCCAAGAAGTAAGGCTCCCTACCTTGTATCATTCGAACGAAAAAAGATAAATCAAATCGGTAAAAACGCACATATTAGGCATACTCTAAGCTTTAAAACAAGCTCAAGTTTTTGAAAATCGGTTGAGGACTTCGCGAGAAAACTCAATTTTACTGAGACGACCTTCCGTCGTTGCGTGCCCACCTCCGAGGTCAGGATGCGCGGAGAGTCCCATACTTCAGACTCGGCTTATCGCCTCTAAACATCCAATCGAAAAGGAATTTAAAAGATTTTATCAAGTAGGCCTTACCTTACTTTTTGAGATAGTCTCCGCATCTTTTTTGACATTTCTGGTATCATTACAGCAGCTTCATTCATGCCTTCCGCGTAAAAGGTCTCGTCTTGGCTCCAAAACCAGTCATTGCCAGCGATCTGCACCTCTAAATCGGTTGGAAATCGCTTTCCACAGTGGGAGTTTTTCATCTCAGGAATAGACGAAAGTCACCTGAGGCTAAATTAAGAGAGTACGGAGGATTGAAGAAAAATTTTACCACGGTAAGCAACTGATTTGGAAGTGCAGATCGCTGGCAATGACTGGTTTTTGAGCCAAGACGAGACCTTTTACGCGGAAGGCATGAAAGAGCTGCTGTAATGATACCAGAAATGTCAAAAAAGATACGGAGACTATCTCAAAAAGTAAGGTAAGGCCTACTTGATAGAATCTTTTAAAATTCCTTTTCGATTGGATGTTTAGAGGCGATAAGCCGAGTCTGAAGTATGGGACTCTCCGCGCATCCTGACTTCGGAGGTGGGCACGCAACGACGGGAGGTCGTCTCAGTAAAATTGAGTTTCCTCGCGAAGTCCTCAACCGATTTTCAAAAACTTGAGCTTGTTTTAAAGCTTAGAGTATGCCTAATATGTACGTTTTTACCGATTTGATTTATCTCTTTTCGTTCGGAAGATATAAGGTAGGGAACTTTACTTTTTGGATGACCCTCGTAGTTGGAAAACATGAGGTGTGTTCGCTTCGAAGCGACGGCATTTTGAAAAACTGCGCGTAAGTCCGTTTAGGAACTCGTTGACAGATACGCTTGATCCAGCGGGAATCAGCTTGTTACGTGAGCTTATTGCAAAACGTTATGTTTCGATAACGCATTTAACGAAAAGGGACCACACAATCGCCGCGTACACCAATCTGCCAATGAGTTCATGTAGGCACTTGGGCACCGTTTTCTAAACACGCAATCGCTTTGAAGCCGAGACTAACAGCCTTGTAAGCCTTAATCAAATAGTTAACGAGCTTCCTTTTTTGAATAGTGTCGTCCAAATAAGCTACGTGAAGAGCACAATCAAAAAATACAGATTACGAGGAAGGACGTAATTCTACACACGTGGTGCTTAGGTTTACGACTTAATCATTCTACAGAAGTGAGTTGCAAGGGGGCGCGATTGAAGAAATGTTTTTAAAAAAATTTGCTTCGAAATAAAGTGCCTTGAAATTTTTGAACGGCTCATTAACCACACGCGTGGTGCAGAATACATCTGAAGAATCTGAACCTCACCTGGTTTCAGCTAGGGTGCTCAAAAACTGAATCAAAGATAACAGGAACTGAGCTACGTCTGGAAGATCGTCTATTGGGTTCCGGACAGTGCCGCAGTACCCGGTCAACTTGTCGGTGATACCTACACTCACGATATAACTGAAACAATCCGGGGGGAAAACAGGCATTTATAATATATTTCATTTCATGATAAACATCGTGTAAAAGCCGAAGGCTAACAATGGGCAAATAACTGACTTTATTCTAACAATTAAGTCACAATGGTTACCAAAAAAGGAGAGCAAATTTTAAGGAAAAGTGCCCCTTTTTATGAGACATGGATCAACGAAACAGGAAGCAAAGTTTGGGCACGGATCTAGGCGCGCTAAAACGGATCTTGCGGGCGGGGATGTCAGACATAGATCTGGATCTTGCTAGAAAGGCCACCATTGGTTTTGCGACCTAAAATGTTACAACTACGCGAAGATCATCTCCAACCCAAATGAACGACCGCTGTTTGGCGCAATGCGTGAAGTATTCATGCAGTCTTGTAGGCGCTATGCGTTTCAAACCGACTGCTGCTGGCTGCAGTGTGTTTGACGCAATGCGTGAAGTATTCATGCAGTCTTGTAGGCGCTATGCGTTTCAAGCCGACTGCTGCTGACTGCAGTGTGTTTGACGCAATGCGTAAAGTATTCATGCAGTCTTGTAGGCGCTACGCGTTTCATGCCGACCGCCGCACCGAGGGCTTCTCCTTTTCATCTCAGTCCACGTCATCATTGCTCTCTGCGCCGCTCCGCTCAAGGTCAAAGTGCGTGTTTGGTTTCTCTCTTAACTCGACTAATTAAAGGTGTTGTCTCTTGTATCACCGAAAGACGACGAAATTAGAAATTACAATACTTCTTCTCCCAGGAAATGAGAGATTTTGTCGCCTTTTCTCGTTTGTAATTTATTTTCTGAATCCGATTTTTTCTTCTTTTTTTTGATACCTACATTCAAGAAGATTGCAAAATGCCGCCCCCTACATTTTGCCGCCATGGGCCGCGACCCATCCATGTGGCCATCCCCTTAATCCGGCCCTGGTTCCAAGATAAAACCACTCATAAAGTCAGGGAACACGTAAACTGCCGCACAATACGTCGTTTCCATTACGAAAGAGCGTGACTACATTTCAATGTTGCCAGATTCTTCCGTGCAAATTGTATTTTTACCTGGAAAATTTTGAGAATTTCTGACTGTAAATTTCACTATTTTTTTTTCTTTTATTTCATGCGAAAATTAGACAAATTTTCGCCGAAAAATATGCAGGTTTATTCTCGTAAAAAATAGAATTGTTTGAGTCGATTTTGCAACATTGCGATGAAGTTACGTTCGCACGTGCGGAAAACGACGAATAGGGGTACTGACACAAGGATTGCTCACCTCCCACTTTTCCACTTTGTCCCGAGTTTTTTTGTTTTTTCAACTTCCGCAGAGGATACATTCGTTCTGCTCGATGACGTCAAATTAGGACGCCACATCAGCTATAACCAAATTTAATCGGGCAATTTAATTTTTTACATGAAAACGGTTGTGCGGATTTATGTTCAAATTTCAGTGAATTTTCTCCATACTACGAAGCAAATTCCTGAAAATTTTCAAAAGAATAAGCACAAACGTTCTCTGGTAAAAAATTAAATTTCCCAATTAAATTTGGCAATAGCTGATGTGGCTTGGTTCCTTTCTGTTAAACGCGGTCTAACTAGCAGTAAGGTGCTTATGTTGGTTGATTCACTGGACATTTCTGTCATCTTTGAAATTCCATTGCGATAAAATTCCTGTAAAAACGGCTGGACATTGCTCCAATGTCATTTGAATTTTCATAACTTTAGGATAGTCCCTGGATATCCGCACCCGAGACAGGAGTTCCTCCAGGGCCCCTTGAATGTGCCCCCCCCCCCCCAGGCGCAATGCCTAGTTCCCTCCATAATTGCCACCATGCACTAACATGTCTGCTGTGTAACAGAAGAGAGCAGTAAGTCCAAAAATAAGGCTTGGAGAAAGTAGACCTGGTATAGAAAAAACCTTGTTTCCCATAACGTTTTCGATAATCATCTATAAGACTATTATGTTGTATGTATTTGTTAGAATGGTAAACGGCAGAAAAGCTTACTGATTTGCTCACAAAATTAGTAAGTACGGCTATAATCTCACGAGGCGTAGTGGACTTGCTGCTGTTTTTCCGTCCATTTCGTCACTCCTCTTACGCAAGGGAGTATCTCAATATCCATGTCAGCATATACATTATGGCTTCCCAAGACTCAAGCGGAAATCAAGATACGACCTTCCGCCAGATGAGTGACGATTTTTGCGAACTAACTCCCCCACAACTTCGTATCTTGCAGAGGCGGAGAACATTGTTGTTCTAGCGGGATTGCTAAGTTCAGTATTATTATATTCGTGAAATTTTGAAGAAAACTTAATTCCTAAAATTCATTCGTTACTTTTCTCTTCAGTAGCAGACAGAGGATTTTCCTCTTCAGTAACAGACAGGGTATCTGCCGCATTTCAAAATGAACTTGGCGTTTGGACGAATCTTTTTCCTCTAACGTATGCAGGAGTAGGAACCAACAATCTAAAGACAAATCTGTGACACGCCAACATCAACTTGGATAAAATTCGTCACCCATTGGAACAGTCAGATTACTAAATCTGGCTACGATGGTAATTATTTAATTGTTTAGGAATTGAGTACTAAAAATAAATATATTAAATTTGGAGTTTATAACTAAAAAAATTGATAACTTTTGGTTTGAGCATGTATAAAAATAAAATTAAAATTAGATTTAAAAAAAAAAAAAAATTACATACGTATAAAAAAACCCTTGAAAAGAGAGGAGAAAAGAGAGAGATAAAAATCTTACCTAACTACATCTGGAATTCTGGAGGTAACATCACTATCTATTGTTTCACCGTTGACTGTTTGCGAAATGATGGTTGACACAAGCTTCATCAACGATCCTGCAATATTAAAAACAATTAAAAGGAAAATCCTCAAATTGATTCCACTATTTTAGAGCAATGATGGATCCAGAGGGGGGCCATGGTGAAATGACCCACCCTCAGGCCAAAAAAGAGGATAGAAAGAAAAGAAAGGAAGGAAAGAGATAAGAAAAGTAAGGGTGGCATACCCAAAAATTTAGTATGGCGGTTTAAGGACCTTATTTGTGTTTTCTTTTTTCTTCTTTGGGGGCTAGAGGAAGAAGGTAGCTTGTTTGTTACCTAAAATATATTGTTCAGTTTCATGTCCCTACCCTTGTATCCTGCTCTTCATATGAAATCGTGAGAGTAACACATAACGTATAACGCCTAAGATGCAAAACACCTCCAGGGGTTGGACTGCCGCGCGGTCAGAGGACTATACTAGTCTTCAGTACTTTTCCTTAATACTTGGCATTCAAGAAAAATTACGGTAAAGAGGTGAAGTCCGTCAATTTTGACTTACCAGCAATGTTGTCAACGGGTGGAACTTCAAGGACAGGTGAGGGTTTATCGGAGAAACTATCTGGAATTAAGATCTAGAACACACATAAACAAATAATTAATAATTTTATATTTGACGGGGAATTTTATTTTGATTAACAACTTGTATTGTACAAACATATGGTAGGTAACTAGATTCAAGTTTCATAAAAATATTATTTTCTTTCTCATGCACAATACTTGTGAACTTGCTCAGAAAAAGGCAAGTACGATGAGAAAAAAGTTTCATTGAGCAGAATAATGAAATTAATATACATTGTCGCTAAAAAATTCATGTAAACTTAGGTTTTTTTGTAAATATGAGGTTCAAATTTACAACTTTTATAATCACTAGTTTCTCACTTATGAGTTGACTTTATGCATTTATTATTTTTCACGTGAGAATTCATATGAAGTTTTGAAGAGGACATGAGTGTTGCAATACTTAATTTATAACCTTGTGTAAATGCCTGTTCAGATTCAGCATGCAACCATGAGGGATTAAAATCAAAAAACAAAACACAGACTTACATTTAACCGATTGTATAGAACATCTAAGAGAAGAGCAATTTTGTTCGACAACAGAACAAATTTGGAATTTTCAATGCTATTCTGACATGCATAAAGGTAAGTGGTGGCAATTGTGACGAAGCATCTGTAAAAGAAAAAGTAACTGGAATGAACCTGTTCATCATCATTACAAACGTATCATTTAAATTCTTATCGCTACTTATCACTAAGTTTGTGTAGGGTTACCAGAAATCAATAATTACTATAGCTGCCATAATGATTACAAGCATCCTGACCATGTGACTTTCCTGGAGAAATTGTAATATAATCTGTTCATTCTTTCAAAGAAACAGAGTACGTAGCTGATATTATGCGAGACATTTCTCTGAGTTTTTAATAGAATGATGAATTAAATACAAATGTATGATTTCCCTGAGTATTTATTATTTAAATCCCCTGAGGTGACACTGAGAATCCTCTTCTTTTGGGGGTTTTCCTGCAAAATTTCCAACACTTTTCGCAAATACATGATGCATGGTAAATACTCACTTGAGAGGTAAAAATGAAAACATTGACTTAGGAACACAAATGGCTAGATCCAACAGATTTGATAGACATGTGAAACCTTGGAGTTCTCGGAAAATACTTTGATCCGCAGATTCCTGAGAAGAAAAGAATTCAGAGTTAGATCAAAAGAAAATTGAGATAGTTAGAGTGTAACAGGAGCTTTGAGTCATGAGTGTAAAATATAAATAAATTTGATCATATTCTATACGTGATTGCACCTTTATTATTATGGGTTTTGATAAAGATTAATATCTGATTGCAATACCGTAAATCATATGGTGAACTTTCAATTTGATAATGCCTATCTTTTTGCTATGGATGAGTCAAATGTACTAAATCGCACCAAACATACATATACTGGTAACTTTTCATGGAAGTTTGTCTAGCAAGTTCTGTGTCAACCTCATTTTTTGCTTGCTTGAGTGTGACTGATTTTTAACTCTTTTGAGGTCTGATATAAATTCAAAATGCTGACAACTACGATAAATAAGTGCACATCAATTTCATTTCAGACAGAGTGTACTTTGTAATCTTGGCATAATTTATTCAAAAAATATAGAGGTATGAAGGATAAACTGACAAACCTTCTTATCAAATATTCGACACAATTCATTCAAATTCCTTTCTAGCAGAGTAATTGCGTTGTCTGGCCATAAACCGACTCCTTGTGTTGAGACTAACTTCCCGATGTCCTTCACGCACTTTGATAACCGGCTTTTGTTGGGAGAGTCAGTTTTCTTACTCACAGATTCGCTTTTCAATTTTGCCAAGTACTCCTCGCCTCTGGAATAATTATCAACAACAATTGGATACTATTAGATATTGGAGCACAACAAAACAACATCCTAACCATATTTTAACACAAGGTAGATTCCAAATTTCTTACATACATCTCCAGTAATCTGAGTCAGGGCTGACAATCAATGTACCTGGATTGGAGAAGTTACGTTACAACCTGTTTACCTCATCCTAGAGTCCCATTGTTAGGTAAACAAGTCACCTTATTGGAGACAATCGCTGACAATTCCAGAAACATTTTCACGACTTTTAAAAGAGTAAAATATAATCATACCATCAACTTTCTACATTGAACACCAATATTTACCTTACAAGGCTTTTTTAATTTTACTGAACTTGCTAATACAGCTAAGTACTAGAAACGAATTGTGGTTTGACACATGCATAGCTGAGTAATCGAGTTTTTTTTTCCTTCCTTTGTGGAAAGATGTATATATAATAATTTTGAAGATTTTAAACATATAATCTTTTCTCCCACCAGCAAAAATGTCTGTAGCCATTATATTGTTGTGACACATTAAGGGCTTTGAAAAGTACATACCTAGAGTTCAACTTCGCTTTGATTTTCTTACACCTCTTGCGGACAGCTTTCAATTTTTCCTGGGTCTGTCTATTGTTAGCTTCTGTTATTTCATCAGGGGCAACAATGATAAAAGAGTTCTCATCACACTCTCCACCTTTTTGCACTTTCTTAACGGCGTCTAAATGTGGTTTTCCTCTTAGGTGAGACAGTAAAAATACTTCGGAATCGATTAGAACCTTACAAACAGTGCAATACTTTTTCTTTTCATATGGGACCAATTGAGGTGCTATATCATCACCTACACTGCGCTGCATTCCAAACTCAAGAGCTCTTTGTCGGATGAGCTCAATATTTTCTTCATGCCTACGAGCAGATTCTTCTTGTTTTTGCTGAATTTTCTTTTGCAATTCCTCCACGTTTGCTAACTGAGCCGCTTGAAGAGCTAGAAGTCTGTCTTCACGGTCTTTTGCCTTTTCCCTCGCTAGCTCTTGTCGCTCTTTTTCCTTCTCTTGCTGTTCTTGGTGTATCCTTTCTTCTCTAATGCGTCGCCTCTCCTGCATCTTTTCCAACTTTTCTTGTCTTTCAGCTTCTAGTGCTTTTTTCCTTTCTTCAACCGCTGCTTCTTTTGCTGCTTTCTCTTCTAATTTTCTCTGTCGTTCTTCAATGATACCTTGTAACCTAAAAATAGAAAGCAGAATAAGTTCTCATTTGTATAAAATCTTAAAATTAAAAAAGTTCGAAAAAATAATTGATGCAGAACAATCCAAACAACGGTCTACTAAAAAAGAGAAGACGAAGGAAAGAAATCTTCAAGGGCTCCACCAGGGAAAATGTTAAGCATTTTTCTGGCTCAGAACATGTAAAATTAAAAAGGTAATTTCTTGGAAAGTCATGATAAAATGAATATAAAGGCTAAAAGTAGAGAAGCTTTTAAACCAATTCAGCAATGAACACTTATACTCCCAAAATAGGCTCAATAAAGTCAACTTAGATAGTGGTCAGGGTCACTTGTCAGTGTCACAGAAAAGTGGTTGATTTTAACTCATAGATTAGCTTAATAGAATAAAAAAAACACCAAAGCTCCGAGTTGAACCAAAAGGAGCTAGCTTATTAAATTATTGACCTCAGTCTCAACATTAGGCACTATTTAATTTGAGAAAACTTCACTTCCAGCACTAGGTGCGCAGTCTTTGCGTTCTTGACTTAAACATACCTTTCTTCTTGTTCTTGACAAAGAGCCAGAAAATCATGTCTCTTGTTTTGTGCCTCCAACTCATTAATAAATGCAATTTCTTTCAGTTTCTCTTCCTCATCGTGCGCTTTTCGCCGAATGCAGCTCAGATGTTGGTTCCGATTTTCTTCTGCCTTCTTCAACTTCAACTCAATTCGACAACGCCGCTCCTCCGCAAGCTGATTCTGAGCAGATTTTACCTCCTCAACTTTATTCAATAACCAACGGAGTTTGGAAGATTTCTTTTGAAGAAGCTCTTGTCGTTTCTTCTGGGCTCTGGCTTGCCGTGCCTGATGACGGTTGATTGCATCAGGAATTGTCCGCCGTCTTGATGGTGATGATAGCTTTTGATGAAGCTCAAGTGCTCGGCCTGGTGAGCGGGCTACAATTTCTTCGAGCTGCTCCAAAGTTTTCATTCTTTCACCCCAACTTAATCCTGTGCTGCTCGTATCCATAGCCATTAGCGTTTCGAGCTTATCTAAAGCTTCCATCTGATCTGCCCACGGCATGCCCATTAACATAGATCTATACCTGAAGAAGAGAAAAAATACTAATTGAGTCTTATACTGTGCAACTTATAGGAACACTGACAGAATCTGATGAATACATATAATTTTACAGAGGCAAATTGCTTTGGGGATATTCAACGCACTATTTTGGGATTTTTTGACCCTCCACCCCCATTTTAATGCTTTGTAACGCAACCCTGGACCCACCTTTGATAATTACGTGATGCTTATCAGACCCCTCCTCCCCCTAAGATCTTAAACATTTTGGGAAACTGTTAAATATACATCAGATACAGATAAAATTTGAATTATTTTGATTGAAACAGTAAACAAGTAGCAAAAGCTACCTGCTGAGGGGGCGCCGCCCCCCCAGACCCCCCCTTTCAAATTATATATGTGAGACTTTGAGTATCATAGAAGTCGTGCGGCGACATGCCGAATGAAATGCCACAATTAAAATTATTGGATCAGATGATGAGCTGATAAAAGCCTTACCTAGTAATTTGGGAACATTTCTGACACAGTTTGGTTGCTTTAACTATCACTTTGATTTGCGAAATACAAATCGTTTTCACTTCGTATGTAGTTAAATTTGATTTTGACTGACTTAGTTTCTGATGGATTCAAACTCATAATATACATTTAGGTTCCAGGGAAAGAAAAATGCAGATGAGCT